TGCCTCCTATTAGCAAGAAGGATCATATCATCAGTTTTGTAATGCATTTTATTACAGACCATACAACATCAGAATTTTTAAATGCAGCATGAGGAGAAGCAATGTCCAAAACAGTTAAAGTGGGTGTCACACAATCACAAATGTATTGATTGTTTCCTTTCTCTCAAACATCAAGATAGCAATGTTTCTTCTTTAAAGCCACCTTTCCCCACCTAAACCACAGCAAAAATTTCCACATTTTGCCTTCAATTGCCTCCATCAAAGCCCTCTTGCATCKTTTTAGACAAAGTAGCTTGCAGAACATTCCTTCCTTCAGAGGAACATGAACCTTTGGCAGGTGTCATACTCCAAAACCAGTATAAGCATGGCTCAAACATGTGGATTATATATTCTTGGATACTCTTCTCCCCCACTGACTTTGCTGTTGGGAAGCTAGAGCTTCTCTGTATTTTTCTAGACTAACTCTTCCTGGTGTTAAGTGACATTTTAAACCAGAAACTCCTAAATTTCACCTGGCACTTCAGAMTGGGTACATTGTTAATTAATGGGCATAATGTGCTTCTGCTGAAAATCAGTAGAAGTCTTCCCAATACTTCCATTAGGAATTGGAATTGGACACTGGACAGGAGTCTAGTACAGTTAAAGTATCTGATCTTCCTCCTTGAGAAAACAAATGCCACATTATTTATTTTACTCCATGGGGGCTGAGTTTAATAGCATTTAACTCAGTAGAATAACACATCAATTCCCTTATTTAATAAGACCTGACTGAGGAAGGGGCCAGAAGTGCGTGTGAGAAGGGAAGAAGGCAGTGTCTGCTCCTCAGTGCTGTGGTCTCACTGCCCGCACATGCTCAAGGAGCGGAATGCAGACTGTTACTGCACTCTATTCCTCTCAASCATTTTGCTTATACCCCACTCCAAACTTGTCTTCTGTCATGAACTTTAATTTGTTAATCACATTGCACCCACTGAAATCTTTCTGTTGTTCCAGGCTGGTCACATCACCTGGGAAATGGGAGCTAAGCTGCTTTGGGGCAGAAGCTGCAAGTTCTCCAAGCTTTCCGCTCCCTCTCCCTGCAGAGCAGCACGACCACAGCAGCCCCAGCAGCCAGCACAGCTTCCACTGCCTGCTCCACAGGGAAAATTACTGGCAGAGCTGTGTTTTTCAAAGGGAARCCTTGGTTTACATGGGGCTGATGGTTTTGACTGTAAGCCTGCTACTCCACTGCTCCTTGAAGACTCGATGTGGCCTGTGGTTTGCCRCTAGACTTTCTACAAAGCTGGCCTGATCCAAATAAAATGTTTCTCCCACCGCAAGCTTCCAATGAAATTCACTCGTGGCATTTCCTAACTCCATCTTTTGGAGTTTGCCTTTGTGTGGTGGACTGTGTAGGAAGTCAGGAAGCAGAAGGGGAAGTGAGGACAGAGAGAACACGCTAAGCCCCCGTCTCCCGTTGGGGCTGAGCCCCTGGTGTTAGAGCAGCTCCTTGCTCTGCTGTGAGGAGTTTACAGTGCAAACCCTCAGCTCAGTCCAGCTGATGACTCCAYTGTTTATACTGAACGTGGACAACGCTGATTACATCATGATAGATGTTTTTCATTCACATACATGTTGGGGTAGTACAATTGGTGTGGAACCAACACAGAACGATGTGGAAATTCCTACAAAAGTCAAATTGGGTGCCAGCAACAAATGATTTCCAGAAAAGCTGGAAAGTACAGAGTGTAAGTATAATTTTTTGTCTTTTTTTTGGTATTTATTCAAGTGCAAAACATGTGGACGCTTGCCTGAATCCTTCTCCCTGTCCASATTTCCACCGACCAATTATCATTTCTCAGATAGTTCTAATACTTGGATCATGGCTTTTTGTTTCAAACAATATCCAATTTAGACTGGGATACATTTTTTAATGTTATTGGTGACTAAAAATATTTTCCCTGTTACCCAGTAAAACACAGTGTTACCCTCAGTTCTGGTTTCAAAATTATATATATGTACATACGTATTTCTACATTAGTTGGTGAGGAATAAATTTGTTGAACAGTAAGGGTCAGAGCTTCGCCAGCAGCTGAAGCAGTGTTATTTATCAGCAGATCATTACAGTCAGAACTGCACAGCATGTGAACTTCCTCACACCCCTCTGCCAAAGCTCCCCACATGGCTGACCTGCCTGCTGACTTGAGCTTCAAGGAGCTTCCAGTCTCCATCTGGAGATTCAATCTCATTGCACTGCTTGTGCCTATGTGATAGCCCCACTTTCCCTTGGCCCCAGTACAGGAAAATAAAACCCTAAAGGCCTGACTTGGGGACGAAGTTTATCCAGAGAGAGCTCTGCTCTCTCCCACTGATTTGAGTGGGAGAAACCCAGGCTGTGACTGCCACCCCCTCCTGTTTATTTTGGCAATGAGTTGTTCAGCACACAACTATACAGACTTCTGTAAGTTGTAATGCCTATAATTTAAATGTTTCATGTGTCCAGGCATGACTGGCATTTCTATATGTGCCAATAGAGGGGATCTCTAGGAGGAAAAAATGTCAATTGATTTGCTTTGAACATCTGGGGTACTGTAATACCAAAGGGTTCAAAAATTAATCTTCCTTAAAATACTTGTGTCCTTTTTTTTCCCTATTCCATTTTAAAGAACTTTTCAGGCAATGAGGACACCTTAAATCTTTGAAATCAGAAATGTCCAGAAAATGAAAGTCCTTGCCCATTTTCTTGTTAGAACAGGTTTCCTGAAATATCATCCAACGAGTATACAGAGATATTTTAAAAGACCCTAAAACCTTGTTTATATTCAGAATGTTTTATGTTGAAGTTTGAGCTTTCACAAACTATTAGAGTTGTTATTTGATTAGAACTAAATGACATATCCAGGTTATACAGAATGAGCTGTGTCTTTCCCCAGGAGATGAAGGGTATCCAGCCCTGCTACCATACCTGAGCAGAGTGCAACTGAGCAAATGGAGGTACCTGGAAATGCCAAAATTCAATACACAGACACACTGGTGGCTGTCTCCATAGAAGAGACAGCACTCAGACTGGATTTAGCTCTGAACATTTYATGAAACAAGTACTTTCCAGTCTGAGGTGATCAGACTACTTCAAAGAGACCTGAGAAAAGCAGCTACAGAGGAAAAGCACATCGTGGTTTTACATCAGTCTACACGTGAGAAATGTGGCCTTAAAGGGTCTGCACAACCCTTTCTGGAAGAATTTTAGAGACTCACAAACTGAGAAGATTAAAAACACAGATTTGGGAATATAAAACAGGAAAATATTTTATATTCTTTGGGAAAATGTAGAAATCAAGAAAAAGCAAGCAGAGCCAAAGCAGAGAGAAGCTATGTGTTTCGTTGATGTGAGGCAGATGAATAACAGAAGTAGAGAAGAGCAGAATCCTGGTTTTGTCAAACTGGAATTGCTCAAGATACCCAGTGTTACAAAGGTAGAAATTACATTGTCACTGCATCTGCCTGCACCTCAAAAGTTTCATTTATTTGTTGACTTGCCTAGACCTTACACATAATAGCCTCAGAATAACACATGCAGAGCTGCTGTCACATTGCCTAGACTTAGATCACACCATCCTTTCATGCCTGTGCAAGAGGTAGAAAGGAAACTCCCTGGAGAGTTCTTCAATGCTACAGAACAGTGCTGGCAATAAGGACTTCTCCAACACTGACTTGATCTGAGAGCCTTTCAGCTTATACCATTATTGATTATAATAACTTCCTMAATACCAAGAATTTACTAACAATATTATTATTGAATAATTGTAATAATAAATTAAAAAATAAAATTAGTAAGCAGTGGTCACCCAAATAATTCCAAAAAACTGAAAATCCGAAGCRAAGCACTGACTGAAAGACAGCCACTGCTGGGAAGGACAGAAATGAGTGGCCTCCTTAAAGCATATGACACACAAGGAACAGGGAGAATGCTATTATTGTAGCATTTGGAAATAAAACYCTGCTCTTATGCATCCTGGAGTGATGCTGCAGTGACTCTTATTTTAGAAGAACTCATCTGAATTCAAGGTTTGCCCAACAGRAGGATTGATTATGCAATGATAGAGCTTTTTCAGTCCCAGCAAATCTTAGAGATATTTAGTACATGCATTGAAAACCAAGGTCATGTGTYTTGTTCTGCACTGCTGAAGATTAGGTTTGTTTCAGCAATGAGCTCCTCCATGATGTTTTAAAATAAGACTAACTAGTAGCTGATTAAATAAAACATCCTCATGAGATGCCCCTGCAGATGAGGTCTGCTTTTCTTCTACAGCTCCTCCTGGGCCCATCCAGGCAGACACATTAGTGAAACAACTGGATAATACATTAAGAAGAGAAGATCCAGAGATTGGTGTTTTTGATGGATTTACAGACTGGATAAACATGAGCCTGAGAGCTCAGTACCTTCCACTGAGAATACCCTACCTCTGTGGCCTGCAATTTTAAATGTGCAACAAAGACTTCTCACACAATCACCCAACAAGATGCCAAGCAYTTCTGTGTTAAGAAAGCCAAGGCTTTAGCACTACACAGTTTTCTAAAGTAAATTCCCTGAAACCTGTACTTGAAATTCCCCATAGACTCCAAGAAGTGCAAACAATAATCTTAGCAAATCAAACCCCAAAATCAKTCTTCTTTTGGTGCTGTGACAAGCAGGTAAATATATTCATAAGCTTAGTAAAAGAAGCTTAAAAAAAAAACCTAGATTCTTGTGCTAATGTMTCCCAAATACACTCATTGTGAGACACAAAAGCAGATTAACTTTCACCAAAAATCACACAGCGAAGTTACTCTAGGATATCATTATGTGTGCTACATCCAACAGTTACCTTGGTGAATCTGGTTTATGAGTCACATGAAGCATATTTGCTGGCAACATGAGATTTACACCTGTGAACACCTCGTGTTGCCACCTGCAGAAAAAATTATCACCCTTGCAAGAGARTCTTGTTTAAAGTATGAAAAAAGGAACAGTTATTCCCTACCTTCTCAGCATCTTGCTCAAAAAGCCGGAGTTGAAAGCACTGGTCCAGTTTCAGCTTGCGGACATGCCACATCTGATGCAAGTGTTGCCGGGTAGAATGCAGCTTGTCTAAAAGGCTGGTGATCTTTGGCACAAGACTTTGAAAATCTGCACTTCCAGGAATGCAGTTCCTACCAGAAAAACCATCACTGGATCTTATACATTGTAATAACCTCTGACCCTCACGATCCARTTCTTCCACAGGAGCTTTAATCACTTTTTTCTTGAGCTGCGTGTGCTCATCAATCAGCCTTCTTGAGCCCTCAACATCAACTGGAAACTCCTTTCTAGCCAACATTTCCTGGAGATCCTCCAGCCTTGATAATAAATGGATGGCACTGTTGAAAAACTCYTCCAAGGACACGCGCAGCTCTATCCATTCATCGTGGTTGTAATCCAAGGACCCTTCRAACTCGTCCGTCAGCTGAGAAGGATCTACAAGCTTTGCCAGGCCTTCCACAGACACCATACTTGTCTAAGGAAGGGAAAAGGACAGTATTTACATCAGTGAGCATCCAATCAGAATTAACAGCACAACCCATAAACAGCACGAAGCGAGTATTTTCCTCATCAATATATAATTGCAAGAGCAGTAGAAAATATGCCAAGGATTGTGTTTAATTTTGATGTATTAATTGGACAGAAGATGCTACCGTTAATGGCATTTATTTATTTATTAAAAGATGTGATATTTATTATTATTTTAATGTCTGTCTTTTTCAGATGGCCTGACTATCAAAAACATGTAGCAAAAATGCTTCTCTCACAGATTTCATTAACCCAGCTGGACACTGAAGACTTCTTACTGCAGCTTTTGGATATCCAGGCATGGCTGTTCACTAAACAGGTACATGGTGTTACAGGAACTCTGCTACTTGTGTTACACCCAGCTAGTGGCTGCACAGAAACAAAAGTTTCAGATATATGAAGTGAAGCAGGTATTGCAAACTGCCATAACAGAGAACGTGCTGGGCTTCTTCTTCCAAATTATTCCAGCTGGCTTTTTGCCACTCTTTCATATTAGCAATTCCTAATGTAATTAAGCCAAAATCAATGTAAAAGTGAAATGTCATTGAAGTATTAACAACTAGAATTTATTGCCAATAGAAAGTACCGCTCACGAATCATACACAATCAATGAGAAGTGGTTWTAATTCATTCAGACTCAGTAATTGGTGACAGAGAAAAGCACTGTGTGTCTGGAAAGYAGATTACAGTTTAAGGACACAGCARCTGACAGCRTTTCCCATTTGTTTTAGATGAAGTATTTATTTCTGAAATTAGGAGCATAGGGTTTCATRTGTAACTAGAGATTTTCAGTGCTGTCATGTTAACACCCAAGCTGGCAGCCCTTAAAGCCTTGTATCTTCATCAGTGACTGTACATCTATCCCCTAAAGGTCAGGCCTCTAAAGGATGTCAGAGCTTGTGCTCTTCAGAAGAGGAGTCAGCCAATAATCACAGAACTCTTATAAAAGCCATCTACARAGAAAAACACCTAAAGTCCTGATCATTATCCTGAATTATGTCCAAAATRGTAGGCTAGCCACTGGTTAAAGGTTAATAACAGGCTTTTTCTTCCAATTTATATCCATCCAAAATTATCAGCCATTCTGCAATATATTAAAATTGAGATTGTATTGAACTTAAATTCAGGAGAAAGATTATCTTTAAATGTTTTTGCAACATTCCTTGCTTTGAGGAAAAGGGAGGCTGGTGGGAAGAGCAAACAAACAGGGGAAGGTAAGTATGTAGCTTCAGAARGTTTTCAAATTTTTAAACCTCTTGACCTGGACACAGAGATCTTGAAGATAATTCAATTTAGAGTTTAACTGCCTGTCAGGGAAATACTTCTCTCCATGGCTAGCACTTGGGCATCCCCCTGCAATTTGTCAAGCTAATGGAAACACTGCTCTAATCATGGGCAGAATTTGACATTATGGGATAGTAGAAAAGCTTTTCTGAAATTCTGCAGAAATTTTCTTTATTCAGGTTTGATTTTTTAAGTAGTTATTGAAACTCTAATGAAAACAATTTTAGTGAGGCAGGTAGGTGCTTACTGTTTCCTAGGCATTACTCATCCTTCTTTTTGAAATGAATTTTCAAAGTGCTGTCCACTATTTACCCTCTTTCACCAGGAGAAAGAAATCTTGAAGGCATTTCTGAATTAATGCTAAATAAATTGCCTGGCCTATTCCTCAAAGCGACAGGAAACTTTGGAATCCACATACATCAACAAAACACTTTTCTTTCTTTTTGTGGGTAAGATCTGTGTACATGCTTCACTCWGGACTGTGACACAGAACCACTGTGCCAGAGACTCACCCCACAAAATCAAGTTCATCAGCCTCCCCTAAGGGTCCTACAGTGCTCTGGCACACACATCATGCTTACATTACACTCAAAAGAGAAATGTGGCTTTAAAACTGACACTGGTTACTGCTGAGTTTGTGGATGGGGCAATTCAACAGAGATTTYCACTGCCTTCCACTGCAGTGTGTTCCTGCCAAGTGATGAGAGAGCATGAGCTGCCCAAGAGCCTGAGCTTATTGATAAGCAGCAGCATCCCAAAGAATCCTTTAAAAGAGAAGTTCCTTGATTGTAGTGTGTATACTGCAGGGTGGACCACAGCTTAGGAAATYTTTGTTTGAATCATGGAATTTAGGGACTCAAACCATTCTATGATTCTGAGGGTCTGCAGGTGTTCCAATAGTCAGTGAAAGCATTGCCTCTACTCCAGTCTGAAAGTTTCTGAACCATTGGACACCCATGTGAACAACCCTACAGACAGACCAAGGCTCAAAGGCACTCACAACACACACAAAATGAAAATACCCTTAATGCATTACAGCATGTACAGCAAACGAGTTCAGAGCTTTTTAAACAACACAGACTCAGAGCTGTAGCTATGAAGAATCCTCACAGTTTACTCTTTACTATCATCACAACAACTCCACATAATAAAAATATACATCAAGCCTCCAGGAAGTATTCATTAATTTTAAAAACAAACAAATGTTCTAAAACCACATATTTGAACTCTGTTAGTTTACCCCTAGGCTTTGAAATTTTAGGAAGACATTTACTAAAGCACTAGAGAATTGGAATTCAGYGTTGGCTACACACTCATATCCTGTGTTTTCTTGGGTTACTATAGGACTGCCCCTCAGTGCCTTTATATATTTTAAACAGAAGTACCCTATGCCTAAAAATTATCCTATTGCTAATCTCTGCACAGACTCCCTCCTGCTCCATGTTCTTCTGTAGCCACACAACTCCCTTCTCCTCCCCACTGCCCTGATCCCTCTCAGTCCCCACAGGCAGCAATGACAGTSTCACTGCAATGATGGCAGCAGTGTAAAGACTTATTTAATCAAAGTAAAATTTATGAGTTGACTGGATTTTGTGAAACAGGAGTGAAAATTTACAAGCACTTAAAATGTGATAATAATGTAAAATTGTGTTAATGAGTAACACCAATCCAATTCCCCATAGCAATTCAAGGGTGCTTGCCAGAACAGGTTGAAAATAAGGACACATTTATATCACATTGACTTCAACAAAACGTAAATAGATACTTAAATACAGTCTTCCATTGCAGTAAACATTAAGAGCTATAGCCAAATTCTCTTCTGTATTYCAGAGATGCAAAATCTCTGTGTCCCTCTGAAATTAATGGATTGGTAAAAYAGCCAACATAYAAATGTTTCTCAGTGAATTACTAAAAAACAACATATGACTAAGTAATGGCAGGGTGTGATTGATGTATGAGCACTTCATGCACCTGAATTTTGCCTCTCTTTGGATAAGAAGCTGAAATTCACAGAAAACTGAAGTGCTCTAGAGAACACAGCAGGTTTGTCTTCATCAACAACAAAGTCAGTAAAATTCYTCTTAATTATGCAATTGTTGTATACTGGCTATTTCTCAAAGGATGCCTGAGGCACCTTATCATTCACATGAGTTGTCAATGCTACCCCTGAATCTCAATTAAATGAAAGAGGTGACAATTTAGCAAATACCTTTTATTAAAAAAAAAAAAAAAAAAAACCACCAGGGGAAGTTGGGTAGAAGCAAACTAACAAACTTGTACATTTGCATCTAGAAAACTGTATCTTTAGCACTTTGACTGAACTGTGTTGTGGTTTTGTTTTTTGGTTTTTTTTTTCCTATGAGAAACAAAGGAAAAATTTAATGCAACACCATCAAACATAAATACTACAAAAAAAAAACAACAAAAAAACCCTCAGTAAAATGAACTATGTGAACCTCTGGGGTGAAACATGCAACTCATTCCAACAGTGCTCAGAAAACAACCTCATGCAGGGCATCAGCCCACCCCTGCTACCTGCCCTCAGATATATTTTTTGCTTTCAATCACAGGGCTCTTTTTGCCTGAAGAGTTCTTATCAGAGACAATGCTTGACCATACATTTACCATACATGCTTACATACATGGCTCTCACCTCAAAGATGAACTTGGAACTGCCAAAGTTTGTTTTCTGCTTCTGCCAGAAATTATCAGGTTTTATGATCAGGGCAACATGAATCTCAGCAGGAAAGGCTTCTTGAAGGGTTTTTAGGAGAGGCTTGATCAAATCCCATTTGGATCCTCGCATATCGATAATAACAGTGAATCCTCGTTTGCAAACATCTTCGCTGCAGGAATAAAAGTATATGATGATAATTAATATTGTGGGAAGCTGCACTGAGATTTGACTTTTGTTGCTGGTGTTTGGTGCTTCAGAGCAAAGAAAGGAATGATTAACATAAAAGACAAAAGATAGAACATATAAAGGCTATACTAAAGGTTATATTAAATTACTATAATGTAATTTACATGAAATTCAAGTGCCTAATTTACAGTTTAATCTCTAATTTTCCAAACACATGTAATTCAAATATTCTCTAAAAACATACATACTTTCACAGAATCAAAWACAGAATCAAGTGTATCTGTATAGAAGCTCTTTGTGTGTACATACAATGGATTCTGCTTTCAACATACTGAACCCACAGCCAAAGTCAACAAGTGGGGTCCTGTGCCTTAGCATTATTGGCCACTTGTAAATTTGGGTCCCTTCATTTTTAGAGGCCCCTTTAAGGACTTTTTAAAAAATGTCACTTGCAGAAAAGTGTCATTTCCATAAAAGTGCCTGGCAATTTCTCCCTGACAGGAAGGCCCTTGTGACTCAGCATGTGCACTGTTATCACTGGGGCCCTTTTCGCTCGCGACTGATCTTCCAAATGCTGCAGGACCTTTTTCAATCTGCAGTCAGACTTTTCTGCCAGTCTGTGCTCCCCCTCAGATCCAAGGCAGTTATCTGGCCTGGTCACTGGCAATGGAGCCCAACRACACCAGAGCAGTCACTTGCAAACACATCTCTTCTTTTTCCTCACAAGAAGAGAGGAGAAAGAATAAAAGGACATGTCAATTCAAGTCTAGTCTGGGCAGTCTTCAGCACAGCTTTTCAAGGGACACAGTAGTATTTATCCTCAGAAAGAGGTATGGGTGTAATGCAGGAATTGTAAGACTGTTTAGCCTCCACAGAAATCCTCCCAGCACAAACACTCTGGAAGATTTTCACTATACTCTACCTCTTTAACTTCTTAAAACAGTCTTTCTGCTAATAAGATCCATCTCCTATATTCAATGGAAAACAACTCTATAAAGCTTATAACTAGGCTTCTGGGCTGGAACAAGGACAGGAATATTCTTCATAGGAAYCACACTGGACTAATAAATGTTAAGAGAGTTTGCTAATTTAACAGTCTCRGCATATGCCAGGCAGGAGCAGTCAGAGGCAACAAACTTGGTCCTCTGCCTTCCCACTGTTGGCACACCCAGAGCACACTGCATACAACAGTGCAAAGAAAAAATAGGGAGACCAGGCACTTCCAAACACTGTCAGGAATATAGATCTTTTTATTCTCCTTTTACCTACTGCTGAAAGGTCAGACATCTGATCCTTTCATAACTAATGCCAAAAAAAGGCTGTAAAAGAAGCTTTGTTGGTGGTGCTACCGCCTCTTGCCTTTTGGAACAAGAAGCTGAGACAAGGAATCAAATCAGAAAGCAATGAATAGAAAGGGGTTTGTGTTTTGTGTTATTTTTCTTGCAAAGCTTTATAGGGTCTTCAGGAACTTCTGCCAAATCACTGATCCTTGTTATACTGAACGGACTTTTCCAAGGATTTCTTCAAACATTTGACAAAGAGATGCAAGAGCCATACAGACACATGGAGAGCCCCAACAGCRGACAAGTAACAGGTAAGTGCAACCTATCTTTTTTGATAGAAAAAATAAATACTCCACCACCTCCACTGCAATCAGAGCAAGGCATAGACAATATTAGCTTTATTCCAGCTCCCCATGGCCACTGCCAACCTGCCAGTTTATCAAATCTGATGTAAAACAGTAAGTYAATACTTACTGATGAACAACATAAAAAGCTGTTTCAGTAAGCCAAACAGGAATGTCCTGAAAGAATAAAGTCTTCTGTTTATGAACCTGAATAAAAGTCTTAGACAMAAGCAGATCCAAAATCAAACCTTGCCCCCAGCTGTAGAGCACAGGCAGTGAGACACCATTACACCCTTGATTGCTTTCCACCATGACTAGAAGTTCAGGATGCATTAAGACCAATATTCCAGGTAGGGAACCAAGAGATGTAACTGTGGGCTGGAGTCTGTCTGCTGAAGGTTTGCAGCCTCTCCAGGCCTGTGGGGTGCAGAGAAGCAGTGGAGGAGCAGACAGTGCTGCTGCCCATTCCCATCCACACATCGTGCCTAAGAGTGTGTGAAAAAACGCTCCCCAAAACCCCAAAGCCCTCCTGTCCTGGTTCTGGAGACTTCACAACATTATTTCAGGAAAGGAAGAAAGGGCAACGATTCCCCAGTGTTTTCTGATGGACACAGGAGAATAACCACTGATCCTGAGGATCAGGCTGAGAATGCTTTCCGATTCTTTTTCTGGAACAAGTAGTTATTTGCTACCAGCACTATYCACAAGCCATGTAATTAGACCAAATTTTCACAAGCTTAGTACATTTTCAAGTGTGAAAATGATAGGAAAAATGGATGGAAAGSGAGGAAAGGAAGAAGAATAATCACAGAATTCTTATGTTCAAAACACATCAATATGTTTCARCTCTTACACTGATAATACAAAACTCCAAACAATGCTSTCTACTACAAAGAGGATTTYCCTACCTCATTCATCACAAAGGCATGTAATACCTGTATGAAATATAAAATCAAAGGCACCYCTCTTCAATTCTAGGGCAGGAAACATACAAATGGTATTCATCATTTTGAGAAAATCTCACTCTGTTTCAAGAGTGTTGCCCACATTCTTGCAGTAGATCTGCTTGCAATTTTTTTTGTTTAATGTGAGGAATGATCCTAACCTGTAACAAGATCTGTGGGTCTCTAGTCTCATCTACACAATTTGTTCCCCCCAMCATGTTGAAAACTCCACATTTTTCTGACTTTTTGCAGAAAATCAGCACCTGATTTCTAAACCTGCTTGCCAAAAGCTATTATTTAATAGTGTTTAAATTGTTGCARCACGGAAAGCTGCCTGCTCATCATTTCTACTTTCAGTTGCAGAGCTTGCTGTGGAGAGGGTGCCTTCGAGAGCACTTACCCTGCACAAACAGCTAGCCRGATACTAATCAGGTACTAATATCTCAAAGAAAGAAGTGGGAGATAAGAAAATTATTTAGATTATAAGCTCCTCAAGGCAGGGATCATCTGCCATGCTGTGTTTGTTTAAGGAGCCTGCCTTGCTGGAGGTCTCCAGCTACCTACACTTATACTACAGTCTTCAGCTGTCTGGAATTAATTGTAATAAATTACTTTTCAGGAAACCATAAATGCAAATCCAGGGAATTAAAAATAATGAGTAATAATGGTCTGCAAAACCAAAACTGAACACAGATGATAAAGTACAAAAAGCTTACATAAATGTGGGGACACCTCATAGGCAATTTAATTTTAAAAAACAAAGAAAACCAAACACACATAGTAAAAAAAGGCCAAAATTCAAGTTGCAATATCCAAATATTTACAGCTACTGAGAGGATCCTAAAAAAGTTGGCCTAGACATAATGAAACTCCGATAAACTCTGCTGAGGCAATCTGGGACGATTTGTCATCTCTGACAGTCAGTCATTTTTCTTCAGTTACCTCAGCATAGATTGAGGAAATGACCCCAGGTTCCTTTTGAATAGTCTAGCCATGCTTATTAACTTTATTGCTTAAAAGCAACAACTCAAACCCTTCCCAATTTAGCAATTGATCGGGAAAAGCATCAGTGGCAATCAAGCTTTGTSCACATTTTCCAAGCAAGACATGCCTTACTCCTGGCTCCCAAGATGATACATCRATACACATATCTATTATGCACAAGTAACCACTTTACTATGGCAATTAATGTTGATTGTGCTGCTTAATTTTTTCCGGTATTGATATTTGACCAGAAACTGGAAAAAAACACTCAAATCAAGGTATTTGGACAATCCATCAGACTTTTGGCTGGGCTCATCTGGACTAGATTTGCAACGGTGAGCTGAAAATATTTGATAGTTGATAAGTCATTTCAGTTGCTCCACTGCTTTTAAGCAAAGACAAAGACCAGCTTYTAAGTCTAATAAAAATACCCTAGAATATTTGTACAAACAATACTTCTAATCTGAATTTTTTTTAAAAAGGCATAAAATTTAAACTCAGAAGCAGATGTGATAATTTTGTAAAAATAAATGCCTCTATTTTGGTTTCTAGGGCACTTTCATAAGGTTATTTTCTCAAATTTCCTCTTTAATTCAGGCACATTCKAAATTGTGTTTTCTTTGGCAAGAGCTGGCTTGCTGGGTACCAAATGAATTTAAGAACTTCATGCTTTCTGATTAATCTTTCAGATACCTATTGATTATGTGTCTTTTCCACCCTTATGGTTTGGCCAAAGCTTCTGGCATTTTGAAGCTTCAGCMCTTGATTAGCTGAAATAACATAATATCACCATTCCCATTTTGCAGTCATGAGTTAATGATGAAGCAGCACATTTAGCATTCCTGTTGGACCACTAAAAGCTCAGATCTGACATGTCYAGCATCTCATTCTAAATATGATTTGTTAATGGGGAGAGCAAGATCTCTTTCAAGTCAGGTCAACATAACCTTGTCAGGAGACACCACGAGAATAACAAGCAGCTCTTCAGGCATCAACCTGTAAGAGCAAAATCTGYAGGAAATTAATTATTTTTGAGATCACTGTTCCTTTGACAAATGTGGCTGTAGTCAGCCAATTGGTTCACAAGCTGAGGGTGGAAAAGGGGGAGGAAGAGGAGAAAAACAGGTATGTGAAAGCCTCCAAGCACAAACTGTTATCCCAAAGGCCTCATTTCATGAGACCTAACTAGCTCCACTCCCTAATTTCCATATCAAAATGCACCTAGTTCCACTCCCTAATTTCCATATCAAAATGCACCAAGGATCACTTCAGTAATTTATGTGTTAATATTTTTGATTAATTGCAATTTTTTACTCATTTTGTTTGTGGTTTATTTATTCAGCTTGAGAATGAAACTGGACAGAGAGGTTTACAATCARCATCACTTACAGACTTTCATACTTYRGTTTCACATCACCATGTTGAGCC